ACTGTTTATAACATGTAAAGTTATTTCATTTGATACTTAACAAAAGTGAATTTTGTGGTTATCTATGAGTTGCATATTTTGGTAGTTGAAGTACTGTATGTATGTCATTCCTCTACTTGGTTAGTGGAATAACGTTTTTAAAATTTATTTCAACTATCAAAAAAATGTTCAATGGCCGTTGTTTTCTGATAATCTCTCAGTACATTATTTGCATCTGTTGTGTAACTGTATTTGTTATTGATTAAATTCCTGCTTATTACAGTATTTAAATATTTGAAGATTTTAAAAAAATCATTTCTATTACTGAATTTTTTCATTGGAGACATTTTTACCTACTTGTCATTTGGGGTCATTTTTACTGGGGTCATTTTTACCGGGCCATTTTTTCCTGGGCCATTTTTACCGGGGGAATTTTTACCTACATTCCGCCAGCATACCCAAATCGCTCAGCCTTGTAAGCTTCTCTTTCAACGTTTAACTTAACATGGTTGAGATAGAGGATGAATAAGAGAGGTGATAAAACACTTCCTTGTTGTACTCCTGTGTTGACGGCAAACTACTCTGTGCCTCCTAAGACAGTATTGCTTTGATTTCTGTATGTGCTTTTGATTGTATTGAGTAGAGGAGTGCTAATGCCTGTTTCCTCACTTTCCACATTTTATCCCTTGGTACCCTGTCGAATGCCTTTTCCAGATCTATGAAACAGATGTGTTGGATTAGTACCAGGGAGTTGTTATTAGAAACTTTTGAACGTTTAACAACCAGGAAATTGTTAATCTCCCTGTTAGTACTATATTCCCAGCTTTTTGCTGCGAAGCAGCCAATTCATATTCTTGACAGGAATTTGACCTTTGAAAGGTCATTGTTTGTCAAAAAACAAGGGCCTAAGACGAATACAGATCATTTCGGTCGCGCCTCGTTTCGGTCGCGCTTCATTTCGGTCGCGGTTTGTTTTCAACAAATATATGGAGCGCCAATAGAGTTGCGAAAACGCCAAATTTAATATAACTAGGCCTAATTATCATTGAGTTCGTTCGTCAATCGGTTTATATATATATATATATATATATATATATATATATATATATATATATATATTGATATAATTTTTATTATTCTGCTTGCATCAAATAAAGATTTGTGGAATAAGTATAGTCAATAGATTAGTTTCGCATACGTTATTTTCTTGTCTGTTACGTTTCCATTTACCATATGTTTTGATCATATTTATAATAATATTATAAAGGAAATATGTGTTTTCATAATTTATATTTTCCATATAAAATTATCAATAAATTTATAATTGCATGCTGTACGTTTTAAAAGCCGTTTCATGCTTCTTTTATATCCCTAAGCCCGAGAAAATCACTCAACTTGCTAGGCCTATTTCTTTACTTGCATAACTAGAATTGTGGAAAGAAACGTTTCCACAAATTGATTCCCATGGTACTCTTAAGGCGAAGCTGACACAAGGTTTGTGATTTCTTGTTTGTTTTATTTCCATTTTCGATACATTACTGCCAAGACAGAAGTAGGTCAGATGCTAAAATAGATGACTAGCTGTTTCTAGGTTCAAACACGTGCGCTGGAGCGCAGTTCACCATTTCACGTGTGTTCACGTCACCTACTTCATGAAACCTGTAACTTCGAATCGTCTGCGCTGGCTGCTGATCATGTTTATAAAATACCAAAATAAATGGATAGTAAAATATATATTTGTTAGGCCTATATGATTTCATGTGTAATGTAAATAAATATGTATAAATTATATATAATATTATATATGTATAAATATATATATGTATGTGTATATAGGCTTATATATAATATATATATATAGTTGTTTCTAGGTATATCATTTATGCTTATATAAAATCATATATAAATATATATATTCATATTTATGAACTGCGCAGGAACATCAAAGAAAACTAAAGATTTCAAGTGAAGAATGATAATGTGTGTGTTATTCGTTTATTTCTTTAATTGTGTTTCCCTCAATTCTCTTGGTATGTTTTATCCAAACTCTGGAAGCTGCAAGAAAAATAAAAAATGTATTGTATAGAAACATCGGATTAAATAATGTAATGACTATTGTTTTAACTAAATTATGAAATAGATTTCAGATGGCAACAACATTCAATTAAAATCAAAGATACATTTTATTGACCATAATTATTAAATTATGTAAAAAAATTAAAATCCAATTCGGCTTTGTTCAAACGAAGAGTAATCTTTTCATATTTTCTTAATAAAGAAACTGGTAATCTTCTTGAACTGAAATCCTTGATAATAGAACCAAATGGACGTAAGTTGACAAAAAATACAACGCATTTTAAAAATAACACAAAAGATTTAATGGAAGACATGTTTCGGGTTACCTTCAACCCATCATCAGTTAACAAAAAACACAACAGAAATTAACCAAATACTTTTCATATAGACTATATATATATAGGTAATTATTATGCTGAATATTAAATAAATTGATTTGTTTGACAATAAGTTTGACCAACTATAGTAACTCTGAAATCTGGACTAAATGTAGCTAATTATTATTCTGAATATATAATTGAATACCATGATTTGTTTAACCAAAGGTTAGTAAAGCAATAGTAAGTCTGTAATATGGACCAAGTGTAGCTAATCATTATGTAGAATATATAATCATGTACATTGATTTGTTTGACAAAAGGTTGTGAAGCTATAGTTAAATGCAAGGTAACAAGTCCTTGCATAATAACTATTGCTTACGTGTATATTTAAATAAGCTTTAAGTTAACATGTTTAATTTGCAAATTAAGATCAGGATTGTTCCATTTTATGTAAAGGGATTCTTTGATTTTCAATTTTATTTCATTGTTATCAATGATGGGTTGAAGGTAACCCGAAACATGTCTTCCATTAAATCTTTTGTGTTATTTTTAAAATGCGTTGTATTTTTTGTCAACTTACGTCCATTTGGTTCTATTATCAAGGATTTCAGTTCAAGAAGATTACCAGTTTCTCTATTAAGAAAATATGAAAAGATTACCCTTCGTTTGAACAAAGCCGAATTGGATTTTAATTTTTTACATAATTGCAAGGCATTCGGAGTTTTTCCTAAAATTATTAAATTATAGTATGAAAACGCAACAAAAAGAATAGCATGAAGCACATACTAAATTCCATGGAAGAAAGAAAATATGTTAGAAGAAATATAGCAAACCGGAAATTAAAAAAATACCTAGGCCTATGATAAACCGATTGACTAATTATAATTATATAGGGCCTAGCCTAGGCATATTAAAATTTGCGTTTTCGCAACTCCTTCGGCGCGTATAAGAGACAGCTCCATATATTTGATCGAAATAAACCGCGACCGAAATAAGGCGCGACCGAAACGAAGCGCGACCGAAACAAATGATCGGCTACCCCTAAGACAACTGAAAAGCGGAGTTTCCTTCTTTCCTTCTGCTGGGTAAAATCAATTACTTTAGGCGACGTTTGTAGACTAACCTACTCGTACCAACGTCCGCATGTCACGACGCTGGAGTACTATTCAGCGTTTTTACTATATTTCTAGGTTTCCTATTTCTACGTTTAATCGGCCCATGTCTCAGCCACAATATTTTGAGGCCAATATTATTTACGAACCCAGTTAAACTTATTTACTAGACTATTTCAACGTGCTAATTATTACATTTAGGCGACGCTTGTTGTAGACTGGCATACACAGTGTTTTCGGAAATAAATACCATTTTATACACATGCGCAGATCGATTCGCTAGCAGCGAGTCATCGCCAGCAGCAGCGAGTCGCCAGCAGCGAGATGTCACTGCAGCAAAACACTATTGTACACGGTACCAACACTGTTCTAATATAGACAATGGGTCGTGTCTCATATTATTTGTTATATTTTTATTATTCATTATTTTCACTGGACTCGCATAAATAATTTTGTTCGAAGAACATTTTATGCAGTTGTACTTCGCAGCACTTCACTTGCAATTTGCAATTTCTAGTCTACAAGAATAATCTCAAGGCTGCAATCTGATCTACAGTTCCTCTTCCGGGTCTAAAGCCGCACTGACTCTCAGAGAGCATACTTTCTGCATGATATCTTTAATCTCCTTTCTAAAATTCTCTCGTAGAGCTTGCCGACATGACTCATGAGTTATATCCCCTTATAGTTCTTGCATTCTTGTGGGTCCCCTTTCTTCTTGAAAATAGGGCATATCACGGTTAATAGCGAAGTCCCGACTCCCAAGTAAAGTTAAGTACAAATATAATTTTGCGGCGTAGGAGCAATGCACGTGTTGACTCTTTGGAGAATTGAGAGAAAATGGATAGGAATAATGCTTGGGAGGACCCTTATCGCACTCGCAGCATGAGGTAGGCCTATTTTGGACATCCCTTGTTAGTAGGCCTAGGCCTGTAAAATAATGTCATCACCAAGGTCACGAGGATTCGCCTTAGGCAACTTTTAACCGGCAAATTTGGTGGGTTCGCGGGCCAGCCCTTAGATGCTCTTCCTTTGGTCCCCACCCCCCTGCCTTGATAGTTTCAATGGGAATTATATCAGACCCTGGGGCTTTGTTCTTGGTCAATTTCAAGGCCGTCTCGAGTTCTTCCATAGTTAGGTTTTCCGTTGGTCGTGTCGATTGCGTATCATTGGTCTGCATTGTTGTGGCGTTTGCGGAGTGCTCACCTTCCTCTTCCACATTTAGCAGATCCTGAAAATACTCAATCCATCGGCCTGTTATGTCGTTCAAATTGTTGGATCCGCCACTGAAGATGATTTGTTACGGCTTCCTTACTGAAGTACAATAATAATACATTGTTGTGTTTGGAAGTACTGTACAACAATAATAAATTATACTATTTGGTAGAAGTACAGCAATAATACATTATTGTTGTGTTTGGAAGTACAACAATAATATTTTAATGTACTTGGAAGTGCAAAAACAATAAACTAGAGCAGTCACTCCATAGAGTGTATATCTCGGCCCTATGCCTGTGAGAACTGGATGTATATGTTGTATAAAAATGAATAAAAATTAGTTTAGTCTTGTTTCTCTACTGTGTATCTTGTTTGTATTAATACTCATTTTATCCCATTATTATAGACCAGTAAATTCAATACACCATCTGAAGAATGTTACAGCTAATAAAATCAACGGTGTATACACTTGCGAATCTACAAACAAGACGATTGCGCCATTAAGCGTTAATGTTAATGTAATCGTGATAAGTAAGTTCCGTTATCATCAATTTGAACATGATCATTAATTAAATCAATGTAAATTAAACTAAACTAACCTAAGATGGGATGATACTAAAATTGCTAAAATTATTTTAAAAACTACTAAGACATACATACACATCTTATTAACAATAAAATAACGTTTGCCATAATTAATACGAATATTTAACTTAATAGTATTACTACCATTATAATATAACGTCTGATTCCCAAGTGTATTGGCTTTTTGGCTAAAATTAAAAAAAATGTAATAACAAAAGATCTTACGATCCAGAGGCGAGGTGTCATGCCAGGCGTGTCATCAGATACTGTAGCGGCCATTGTAAGGTGGAGTGTTCGCTATAGCCTATAATTACTTCAATTCTTTACAATGTAAATCATGATATGATGCTAATAATTGTTAAAATTATTTTTAAAAACTGCTGAAACATACATAGGCCTACACATCTTATACAATGAAATACAAATAGTTTTCCATAATAAATACGAATATTTAAAAATAAAAGTATAGTAACTTTTCTATTTTTTCATGGTAAAAGACGGTATAGTAGATTGTTCCAACATTTATATTTAATTATTTAGATTTTCTTGATATATGTACCTATATTTGATAAATTGATCACGCTTTATTGCTGAACACACTTAAAGAATCTTTTGGCATTTCTGACAAAGCTCTCCATTTGCTGTACTCTTACCTCGATTCTAGGTCTTTTCGTGTTAATGTTGGGTCGGAATTTTCCAACACGTTCCCTTTGAAGTATGGCGTTCGGCAAGGTAGCGTACTTGGACCCCTTTTGTTTATCTGCTACACTTCTGGTCTTTCTAACATAATCACTAGATATGGTTTAAATTTTCACTTCTTTGCTGATGACATACAGCTTTGGAAACATGTTGATCTTAATAACACTACGGACATAGCCTCGACTCTTTATTCAATAGAATCTTGTATTTCTTCTATTATCAAATGGACGACTACAATGAAACTCAAGCTCAACCCTCACAAAACTGAACTACTTACTATATTTCCAAAATCTAGAAGCATTCACTCTTTTCCCCCAATTCAGATATCCGTAGAGGGTATATATATATATATATCAATATACCGTCGTCAACTACGGCACGAAATTTAGGTGTACTGTTTGACAATCAGTTTAACTTTCAAAACCACATTTCATCTATCTGAAAATCTGGATATTTTCACTATAGACGAATTCGATCTATTCGTCCATACATTTCACGCTCCGCTGCTGAAGTACTTGTCCATGCTTTTATCACCTCTAAAATTGATTTCTGTAACTCTTTATTGTATGAGACCTCTATTATTCAATTAAGACCCTTACAAAAGCTTCAAAACTCAGCAGCACGTGTTGTCTGTCTCACTAAACTTCGTGATCATGTTTCACCTATCCTCAAAGACCTTCATTGGCTACCGATATGTAAACGCCTAAACTTCAAAATTATTCTTCTCACTCATATATGCATATATGGCTACGCCCCACACTATCTTTCTTCATCAATCTCACAACAATTATCTTCACGTTCCACAAGACAGTCAAATTCTCTCAGGTTATCTGTCCCCAGAGTGCTGCATGTTCGTACTAGCGAACGTTCTTTCTCTTTTGCTGCTCCGAAATTATGGAACTCTCTTCCACCTAATCTTAGATCAACTTCTGATACTAATGCATTCAAGACCCTCCTTAAAACCTATCTCTTTAATCAATAACTCTTTCACCTTTAAGCGCCAGTGACAAAATTTTTTTTTTTAACAGGCGCTATACAAATTCTCCAATTTATTTATTATTTATATTGTTAGTTAACATTTAGGCCTATATATAACGCCTTTTTGGTTACAAGGTACTTTACTGGATCCTCAATTGTTTTTAGAGCACGCTTGGGCGACACTTACTATCGAAAAAAAAAACAACGAAATGAAACAGCCTTGGAATTAACATCAGGAACGTTTTAGTAAAACATTATTTCCTCAACCATCTGTAAAGAAACAATTGAGACTATTATAAGGTCAATGTTTTGTATCAATATCGATGGGTTGTGCAATATGTTATTTCTATGCTTAATAGAAGAGTATAATTAGGTATGACTTTGAATTTATCGTTTTCAGCAGAAATATTGTTCTTTTCATAGAAATTCCTCAACCTTTCATCGAAACATCCACCAATCAATCGATAACAATAGGAGAGAATGTCACTTTAACTTGTCGCATTAGACAATCAGCGGGAACTGTTATTTGGGTGAAAGGTCAATTATCTCTAAATGCTTCCTCAATAATAAACGCCACAAGCCGAATACGAATTGAAAGTAATTCCGATATTGGGCTCTATCAACTAAAAATTACCAATGTCAACCTACAAGACGAGTCTTTCTATAGATGCTACGTCGGACATATATTCACCAATGACGATTTAACGTACTTTGAGTCGCAAGTCCTGGTATATATTCATCCACAAGAACCATTTCCACTGATTAGAACAACTGGGCAAGACGATAAACTTGAAACGTATGATGTTAACATTGGTGACGTCATCAACATGAAATGTGAAGCTAATCTCAGTAAGCCAGCTGTCAAATTATCATGGTTTCTTGATGACTTCCATGTAAAGGCAGCTAATGAATACACAGAGACAGAAGATGGTATAACATATAATACATCAATTGAGTTTTTAAAGACTGCGACAGTGGCGGACAACAAGAAAACACTAGAGTGTGCAGCTGAAAGCCCAGCAATTGAAAGACGGAGCAGCATGTTGACCCTAAATGTTACATGTGAGTAAATTACACCTCAATCATTTGAATAGCCGCGGCGACGGCAGCAGCATTGGCGACGTCAAAAATGAACGAGAAAGTCAATAAAAAGCAAAAATTCCGTAAATTCTTAAATTGAAATTTAAAAAACATACATTTTTTTTGGTTTTTTTTTCAAAGTTAACCAACTATATAATTTGAATGTACCATATTATCGAATCGATGAAAATGAAAAAATAAGAATCGTACTTGCACTTCTGCTGAAACAGTTGTACTTTCGTTGAAAAGATATGCCCACTTTTGTCATACTTTTGCTGCAATAATTGTTCAGTTACAATTTTTGTCACTAGCTATATCGTGATGTTGTGGTAACTTTTGTAGATTTGATATTTATTAGTTTCTTCTCTTTTTGAGTATTTTTTTTTTTTTTTATCATAATATACATTCTCTGGGTATTTTAGATAAACCATTGGTAGAGGTAAATCCACAATCCATCACCACCGAAGAAGGTGAAGATGTTTCATTCACGTGTAACTCAACTGCTAATCCAATGCCTTTTTCATACACGTGGATTATTGAACTCGACAATGGAACGAATCTAGTTAAAGCCAGTCAAAACCTAAAACTGAATAGAGTAACAACAGACTTTGATAATGCTAAAATCAAATGTGAAGTCGAAAACTCAATTGGAAGATCACAGGCAAACGTTGTAAATTTTACAGTCAATGGTAACTATTTATTTTATTACAATAACAATCATTCTTGTATATCAATTTGTCTTTGCCACTCCACACTGTAAATATGATAATTTATACACATTCATGCCTGATATTTATTTTCTGAAGGACCTGGAGCACCGCTATTCGTGATTTTACCCTGTGTAGGATCGATGTTTCTTTTCATGATCACCATATTTTCCGTGCTGGTGTACAAATACAGGTTTAAAATACGCATGATGAAAGTGCGTCAAAATGTTTACAAAAACACTGCTGGAGGTTAGTCTACTAGCAATTTGAACTATAAAATTGATAATGTCGGTGGCTATGTAATAATATGGATGGTGGTGGTGGTGGTAGTGTTAACTGTTGTGATGATGGTGAATGTCAAAAGGATGTTAATGATAATGATGGTAATTTTGATTATGCTTGTAATGATTATGTTTACACTTGGCGGTGATGATGGTAATTGTTTCCATAATGAACGTGTTTATATATACCCTTTTATTATAAAATCTTAATCTTCAAAGAAAAATCCAATTTTTGCTTTTTTTATAAAATTTAAATTTCAGGGGGCGAGAAGGAGTTTGATTTCTTCATTGCTTATAAAAGTGGAGGGGATGACGAAGACTTTGTTGTGAATACCCTGACACCTAAACTAGAAGAAATGGGTTTCAAAGTTTGTGTCCATTTCAAACACTTTTTACCTGGCAGTTGTGAGTACACCATGCGTTACATATATGAAATAAATAATGAGACAACAGGAGTGCAGCTGTAGATTGGTGCTTAAAATTCTTGCTTTGAAATCATAGTCCTTGATTCAAACCCGTCACTGCCTGGCTTTCCACATAACTAGAAAACACTCCATACGCCTCATATAGGTCTACTAAATTATAAACTTATTATTTGAAACATCATTCCATCCAGTGGGTGACGTCCGAGTGCACTTTATGTTGGATATACATGAGATTTAGAAAAATCAGGAAAAATGAAGTTTCATTTATATGTTTTAATATTTTTGCAGAATGCTATTTTTTGCTGAAAATTTCGTATTTTGCTTCTTTAACAGTGATTGCCACTGAAAATGCATACCCTTTAGACCAACAAACATCCCTATCGAAAACTCAGGGTACCTAATAATACTGTAATAGAAAATCAGCTTTTCCTTTTTAATTTTGTCAAAGGGATTTGTATACAATTCAGTATACAGGAGCAGATCCTGAGATGTCCCAAAAGGGGGTAGGTGGCGAAAGTGTGGCTTTTCTAGACGCCCGGAAATAGCCTCCGAGGCGTTTTAGGCGATCGATTTTTGTTTGTTTGTTTCTTTCTTTTTTTTTTAACTTTCCAGAAGGGGCGGTGGATGGCCCAGCCTCCCTCTAAGTCCTCCCCTGGTATGATTGTGTTTAGTTAAATTGTTACTGTTAACCTATTACAATTGTTATCGTTGAAAATGAAACAAAATTCAAAGTAGATTTAAAGATGCTTTACTGGCGATACCCTAATATGCAAATTTGAAGTGAAATTGTTTTGAAATTGTTTATGTTATTTGATGCCATACGGTTATTTTATTGTCTTTTAGCTATCATTGATAACATCACTGAGTCGGTTCACAACAGTTGGAAGACAATACTCGTACTTTCGCCTGCGTTCCTTCAGAGTGGTTGGTGTCAGTACGAATTTAAAACCGCTTGTGGTAATATGCTGAAACAACGAGTCGACATACTACCGATCATTTACGAAGAAATACGAAATCTACCCGACCTTGACGACAACATACGGACGCTTATTAATACAATAACATATCTTAACTGGAACGGAGGAAACATTGATGAGGAACAGAAGATACAGTTCTGGAAGGACATTATGAAGTCTGCACCACGACAACCGCATATGGTGGCGCCACAAGACGAAGAAATGATACAATTAGTAAATCTTGAATGACCGTGAGATAGTGATTACAATTCTTGCATACCCAGATCACCTATCATCAATTCCATTTCACACACTCTCATACTGGTGATACTATAGCAATTAAACTTCGGGCAATCGGTTGGTACTATGGTACATTGTTTCACATGCAGAAAATGCAAATCAAATGTTTTTTTAGTTCCGATAAGGAGCTCTAGGAATACCCGGTTGATTGATTAGTTGATCTATTTTGTGCTGACTGCTTAATACTGCAGTCGGCAACCCATGGGTCGTGAGTGAATTTTTGAGGGTCGTCAGATCGCATCTGGGTCTCAAAAATAAACACTTTTAAATCTGTATAGTGTTCTCGATCATTAAAACAAAACATTTTTTAAATAAAATACTTTGATGAAATTTTGGCTATTGTCTTCAATTTGTGTTAATTTTTGGCTGTTGTTAACAGATTTACGAATTGATGGCCTTGATAACACATTTCTATGCGCCGCAGTGCGCCGTTATAGGCCTAGTACTTGTGTTTCAAAATACACAGAAATATTGTGTTTCATACAACGATGACATAAACACTTTATAAGTTTTTTCATTGACCAAACCCAGAGGTGACGGAACTAGGGTGTGCTGTGTTATGGAGAGTAATGTGTGACCGGAAATGGTCTGCAGTCAGTTGGTTGTTACCATGCGCCAGAGATGTTGGAGTATATATAGTACAGCAATATAATAATAACTATTATGTAGGCCTAATGAATGAATAAAGTTCGGAGTTTGCCGGGTAGTGAAATGATTATTTCACATTTTAAGTGCTCCCTAAATTCATAAGTGTAAGCTAAATTACGGTGATTAACTTAATTATCGAAGATTTGGAGACAATTATTTAGAATCCCTCTTTCCAAGAGGGGATGCAAATGCTTTGTGAAAATGAGTACGCCGCGGTACTCATTTTCACAAAGAAATACACACAACTCGTTAGCTAACAATTATGTCAATGTTACATGAACACCTGGGAAGGAAGGAGCAATCACGTTGTTACCTTGCAAACGTCGGTACTGTATGGGGAGGGGCTGCTGATGTACTGTGTAGCGGGGGACGATGAGGCCATAAGACTAGGCCTAACTAAGACAGTGGAATTATATGTGATAGAAAGTACGCTTTCGGAAGAAATAAATTAAAATAGGAAAAAAAATAACTAAGAATAATTCATTTGCAGAGGTACCTTATTTTTATTATACAATGCTAACAATGCGGCTCTTGTAGCCCTGGCTTGGGCAAGGCATCCATGTGCAAAGCAGTAGTGTTTGTTTATCCATGAAAAAAGCACGCCGGGAAAGTTTGCCTTACTAGGAAAATGTGACGTATCTAGCTTATGACGTATGCATGCTAACTAATGTGAGTGTGACGTCACCAAAAAATGAATATTTTCTATAATAACCAAAATATTAATAACTACAAAGTTTCTGGCCGTAAATTCCCTTAATATTTACCTTGAATCTTCGAGACTTAGAGATCAAAGCTCATTTGTCCCTCAATCATTATCGAATCCTCTTCGGTCATATACGGGCAAAATTTAAGGTGGTGGCCAGACCAGACTTTCTCTAAGCCCGCTTTAAAATGATTTAATTACTGAATTAATGATTACTGAACTCTGATTTACCACATTACTAGGAAGGGAGTTCCAATCGTCAGTAACTCGAACAACGAATGCCTTTTTCCTAACATTAAGTTTAAATTTCTGTTTATACAACTTATATACATGGCCTCTGGTTATAGAATAATCTGATCTTGTAAACAAGTGCTCATGGTCCAAAAGATCAATACCTTGAAAAGTCTTAAAGGTCTGAATGACATCTGCTCTGTTTTTTTCTAAATAACAAAGCTGTCTCTTATACACATCTAGATGTGTATAAGAGACAGATAATATGGATGGTGGTGGTGGTGGTAGTGTTAACTGTTGTGATGATGGTGAATGTCAAAATGATGTTAATGATAATGATGGTAGTGTTTAGAAAAATCCAACTTATCATCAAATAGAATACCAAGATCTGATTCCTCCTTAACACGTACAATTTCACATCTTGATGTACCAGTACCAATAAAATATTTGAAATTAAAATTTTTAACTCCATAATGCATGATCTTGCATTTTGTTAAGTTAAATGGCAATTGCCAGTCTATCGACCACTGGTATAAAGCATTTACATCCCCCTGTAAAATCTCACAATCAGTCTCACAATTGACAACTCTAAACAGCTTAGTATCGTCCGCGAACAACTTTATAAATGAATCAGAAACAGTTTTGGGTAAATCATTAATGAAAACTAAAAATAATAAAGGTCCAAGGACACTTCCTTGAGGAACACCGCTAGACACCAATTGCCATTCAGAACTAACACCATTAACGACCACTCTCTGTTTCCTATCTTTCAAAAATGCAACAATCCAATTCAACAAGTTGCCAGTTGCCATAAGACTTTAATTTTGACAATAACCTACGATGAGGAACATTGTCAAATGCCTTTTGAAAATCGAATGAAGGGTTGCTCAATCTCCTTGCCATACAAATTACAGCTCCCACTGACGTCTCAGTCGAGAAATACGGGTAGCTGAAGTTTTTCTCGCAAATCTGACTACAAAACTATATCCAAATTTCACGTTCCACTTTTGACCCTGAGTTGTGCTTCGCACTCGCCGCTGAGGGCGGCGTTCCGGGAACCCTGCGTCAAGTTACAGTTGAATTAATACAAATTTATAGCAATAATTTGCAATGCAAATTCATTTATATATGAAATCAACAGTCAATGTATTTAAAATACAATTACATGCTCCCAATATTAGTTCATGATGCGAGATTAATCAGAGAGAGGGAGAGAGAGAGAGCAGCTTAGCTCAGTCGGCTAAACTGTTCTATTTGATCCTGAATTTTATGTTTCGATAATATATTTTAAATAATTATCTCAAACAAAATAGAATTTGATTTTGTATTAGTTTAAACTTCATCCAAAAAGGAATGTCAGTACTTAGGGAGAAACGTTTTTTGTCCTTGTTCTCAAAATATTTATTTACTTTTAAATTTTGTATTTTTATTTTAAGGAACTATCACGCGTGTGAACATGTAAAAAGATGAACGTGTTTATGTTAGGTTTGTGTGCAAGATTGTCTTCGTCGGAACAACCCACTGACATCTAAAAAAAAAGTAAAACTGCTATCAACAAACAACAAAGATAAAGTTAGTTCTAGCTATATCTGGAAAAGCAAAGCCTAGGAAGATTCTGTTAATTTAGTAAACTCAAAATTTTTCTGTAAAATAACAGCACCATGGGTACTTGCCACCTAAATTTTCCGCACGGATTTTTCTCCACCCGGAAATTTATTTCGCCGGCTATGTTTCCCCTTTTTTTCTATGTATTTTTCCCAGTTTTCCTACTGATTTTTTTTATCAGGTTATGTTCATTACCGTATAAGTTATAAGGCAGAACCAGGGAACAGTGAAATTCATTATTTTTTTTTGTGTTTTCTCTATATCAATTAATAATGGTCTAGTCGTTGTAAGGTTACATTATAAAGGTGTGCCGATGATATAAAAGCGTTATATTATAATCAATTGACTAATTGACTCTTGATGCACTCGCAATACAGTAATGATTAAGCCAAAAGACACATTGTTGAAACGTTTTGAAAAGTTTAAATCCGGGTTTGCTTAAGAAATAAAGGAAAACAGGATATATTTATTATATATGCTTCCTTGAATTTCAATGTCACACCTATTTCCTTATGGTTTTGTATAACCATATTTGGCTGCATCAACAAAACAAAAAAAAAATCCGGCAATATTATTTCTGTACTTCTACGGTACTTTTGAGGTCAGTGCCTATAGGGATTCTCTTTTACGATTATACGCCTACTTTTATTTCAAATTATCTGTTACGATTGTTGGTAGCGCAACATGCCTATATCTACGGAGGCCATAAAGGGACATGGTTAAAAAAATATTAAACTATTTCGTTCCCTCGAAATGATATTTCGTTCCCTCGAAATAATATTTCGTGTATGGTATGCCCACAATGACTTCAGCGTCGGCTGTTCCTCATGGGTGGCGCCAGGATTTGCCCGACGGGGGGAGGGAACCGAGGTCCCCGGATGGGGGTCCGATTCCCCCGACGAGGTGTCAGATTTCCCCGACGAAAGCAAAGTGGGTGTGGTCGACCTACGATTAAAAGGTTTAGACAGTTTTTAAATTTTGACAATTTAAGGGTTTCAAAGGCTTATTTAATCGATGTTAGAGTCTACTAATGAGGGAACGAAATAGTATTTCGAGGGAACGAAATAATATTTCGAGGGAACGAAATAATACTTTGAGGGAACGAAATGATTTCGTTACCTCGAAATGATCGAAATAATATTTTGTTCCCTCGAAATAATATTTCGTTCGAACAAAATGATTTTGCTTCCTCGAAATATTATTTCGTTCCCTCGAAATAGTTTAATATTTTCTTTAACCATGTCCCTTATATCATTAAATATATTTCATTTAATTAATGTTATTTCATTTGTTTATCTATCAGTATTAACATTGTGTTAACTTGTCTTATAAAGTATGCATATTATATATATGTGTATATATATATATATATATATATATATATGTATATATGTAAAAACTGTCTCTTATACACATCTAGATGTGTATAAGAGACAGATATTAACGTTTATGTTTATTATAAACCGAATGCAATTTCTTATTGTTTTAACATTCTCTTTATATTCTATGGTGTGAACAGAATGGTTATTGATATGTATTCTTTGCTTAAAGTTACAGAATTTTAATGCTATATACTTCCCCTTGTTTCACTAAAAATTGTTCCTTTTGATAGGGGTGTCCCCTGAATAGGGGTGTCCCCTGAATAGGGGTGTTTCCCCCCCCCCCCCAGAGTAGGGGGTTCTAAAGTATTATATTGGTCGTATATTTCGTATCTTGGACGACATTTCTATGATAACTCGAGGTCTTGGGTCGTTGGAAGCTACTGTAGGGCACAAAATTATGGGTCCTTAGAAGTAAAAGGTTGCAGACCGTTAGCCTTATTAGATCGTTTTTGTATGGGCGGCCGTTAGGGCCAATATACTCTACTGCCTCTATTATACTGCACTCATCGAAGTTTTCGAGATTCGAGACCTTGTCTTTCGGTCATTTATCCAGTTCACTGAATATAAATCATTGTAATTGCATAATAAATGAAATATATTTTATACCACCATAATTCATTTTTAAACATAAATGTGTATTGTAAACTCATTTTTTTTCTATTCACACTCAATGTATACGAGCTAATAATTGCTATTGATTTTTTTCTAATATTTTTCATGTAGATTAAAATTATCATTTCATAAAGTAAATTCAAATCATTGTAAAAACCATGCCAAGTGTCAATACAATAGTCAATGATGGCTTTAATTTGTCTACGTTTGTATGTTAATATAAAAAAATGCAAAATGAGAAGAAAAGACCTATGCAGTTTTGCCAACTGCAGATATATTTAAAATAAATACTATAAATAGTATCCATCCTATGCCATTAATAGGGTTTTTTTCTAATATTAATGGCAAAATAACAAGAGATACACAAAAAAATGACAAACAATAATGATACTTTCCAAAAATTATATAAGCGCCGCAGCATTTATTTGAGGATTTATGGTAATTGTAATCCAGCCGGGCACTCAATGCTCACGACGGTCGTCGGCCGACGCGATTCTATGAAGAACGCAACGCGACGACGCATGTACAATGGATTGTTTTTAATGACGATCCGTTCGGACTGCCACCAAAATTCACCAGACGACGTCACGTATCGCTCAAAATCGTGCGACGGACATACGACGAATGAGTGCCCTGCATTAGGGTCACCTACCAATTCAAATGTACTGGATGTAATTCCAGTTGTATAGAGTATGCTAGCCGAGCATCTTTACTGAAAAATATATATAATTATTTAGTTGATGAGAATGGCAGTTTAACTAAATTTAATTAAATTAGTATTGATACGATACGATAGGTTACTCCCTTATTGTCATTTTAACAACATGGTAAAAATTAAATTACTGTCAGTGATTGCAAGGTTGTATTGCAGAATTATACAATTAACATTAATATCATTTAACTACAATTAAACAATATACACATATATACATATATAAAAATATTTTTATAACAATAATCGTTATCATCATCAATTTTTACATATAAAACAACAAATCAGATCTTAACAGAACATTAATTTCTGAAAACGTATCTACAAAAATCAATATTTTTTATAATACTGTACTGACTGATCAATGTAGTTACTTGGGACCACAATTTGTTTGCTGATTCAAGAGTCCTCATAATCATTCTTCTGTACTTTAAAATCAAGTCCTAATTCCAATGCTTGTCTGAGGTCGTTGACCTTGTTTTGTGACGAAGGTTTAAAAGAATTTGAAAAAGTATCTTCACTTGATGGCACTCTTTGTATTTCACTTGCTATATCAACCCACATGTCTCGACATCTCTGTGTAGCAACAGATGCAATTATGTACCCGGTAGCAACGCCACAGGCTGCAGAAGAAAAAAATTAATTAAAAAAAAATAAAGTAATGTAATATAATGTATTTGCAAGTAGTATAGTTGAATACCAAACACTAGATGAAAATTATTATTATTATTAGATTAATGCATAAATGCTTGTAATAAATTAATAAAAAATGAAAGTACTATCTAACTTTAGTACAATAATTTCATCTATGAAGACCCTACTTAAATTCAGACTCACCAATTGAAAGAACGACAGCTGTATGTTTAGAGGCTCCGGGAAATTTACTATGATATAGTATACTGCCTGCGAAACCCGCACTTGCACCTATTACAAAGCAGATAATATTTTTCATTTTTTCAATTGTTAGTCAAGTCAGTATTTTGAAATTGAAAAATTTCCACATCCTAATTGTGGTTCGGATGTGTTTTATTCTAGCAAATCATACCGGCAAATCTGCTCCAAGGGAGCATTGACGATATTGGTACTTTTATTTAATAGCAGGCATTGTACCGGTAATATGTCTGCAGGGCCATATTATTGGACAGGCCAAGACTAATCTAAAGTGCAGGACAATATCCTGGACATTAGACAATAGAAATATCTCAATTACTTAAGAGGGCCCCTGAATATCAGCCGATCTTTCAGGATATGCTGGAAAGTTCACCATGTTATAAATATGGTTCTAAAAAAATAACAAAATATGTCATGCACATTTGAAAATAAGAGTTGATTTATTTATTAATTATTAGTTCATAAATGCCACCAATGGAATACTTTACATTGGTTTCCATGCAATTTTTAGTTCTAATAATAATTTGCAATGTGAATGTGACCTCTAATTGAAACAAGGTCTATTCACACTTACCTACACCACAGCCCATTATTCCCTGCACGAATGCCTTCGACTGGCATACCCTGTACTGCTGTAAACCCTGAAAAAATATTACAGTAATAGTTTAATCCAAAAATGTATGTGACATAACTGTACATAGTTATTAATGCCACATAACGCAACTGTGACCACAGTTATTCATGACTTTATTGTGGGTATACTGCTATACTACTTCAAAATTACTGGTTGGCTGAGCATCCTGGAACATGTTTCAAACTTGTGAAGGCATAAACTGTATATCAGGAGACTGCTGAAAAATGGCAAAGGCCTAATCTACCTATTATGATGATATACAGGAGGTCTATAAAATAAGGCTGTCTTGGTCATAATCAAGTAAACTAGGACCCGGGGCTTTATTGGCCCCATTCTATCCTCGGACTATTATTATAATTTAAATAAGTTTTAATATAAATTTTAATTTCATAGTCAATTTCTAGAAAATAAATACTGCGTGTTTAATTAAGGGAGTGTCTATGCTTACGCCGAGTCGTAAGCATTAGTCATAGGCTATGCTTACGCCGATCTATTGACCATGCGCAGGGGTGGCGTAAGCATTATTTAGAGGCTATGCTTACGCCGAATAAGGTATACCGCGAATTGTAAGCCAAGCTCTTGTACTTTCCTCATGAGTGCCGTCTGTTCATTGTGATACAGTACTTCATTGTTAGATAGATCTATCTAGCTCAATTTATGTTGATATTGATACAATACTATATCTGAAATAATAATGACAATGTATCTATGTATGATGTGTAGAATGTTGGAGATGACCTGCCTGCTGCAGTGATATTCTGATTTTAAATCATTGTCCTGTACATTACAGTAGGCCTACATAATTAAAAAGCGAAATCAAAAACAAGAATTTCCCCTAGGGTGCTCTTATCTCGATCCCTCTCCCTGACCTTTCGAACATCTCTTGATCCGTGTCCCTATAAAATTCTTAATTTTCCTATATGAACAAGTAACGCATACAATAATTACAAGAGAGCGTGACACAGTTTCAATCCAATTTTGTTATTAATTATACAAAAACAATGTAGTATATTTCGGTTTAAGCACCAAGGTTTTTAACAACTGAAATGTTTGAAAGGAAACTCTCTTAAAAAATAACTTTCTTTTTCTCCTCTACTAATTGTATATTACATCATTAACTATTAGATAATTTGCCTATAATCTGCCGACATCACAATAATATAGTTTACATTGTACAGTATACAACTTGCAACAGCCAATCTTGTTCATTCAGCAAAGCTGATGAAGGCCAGAAGACTGGTCGAAAATTTCTTTCGAAAATAAATACAGTGTTCAATAGTCTACATGCCTTGTTGTTATAATTTTTTGTTTCTACGACTGATATATAATTTGAAGAACACACGTGGATGTCTTCATCTGCCATCTGGAAACTTCACCAAGTACGCACTACAGAAAAAAAAATATTTGCACATCATGCTCAATATTCGTTTTCGTACTCACGAAGCAAGCGGCGCTCTTCAAATAGATCGGCGTAAGCACAGCCAGGCTATGATTAATGCTTACGACTCGGCGTAAGCATAGACACTTCGTTTAATTAAATATTTAAATTAAACTACTTGCGAATATACTAGGCCTAGGCAACGGTAGGCTGCTAGCTACTGTAGTTGGCCTAGCCCCTAGCCTCCCTAGCATAGGCCATCTACTACTACTAGTATTAGTAATAGGCATAGGCCTACTTGTAGCAGAAGAAGTAGATCTAGCCGGCCTAGGCCCCTAGCTAGTAGTAGTAGTGCAGGCCTAGCCTAGGCCCTAGTAAGTAATTCAGTACTGGGCCTATTACTATACTAGGCCTAAGCAACTAGCCTAGTCAGGCATCATCTCTAGCTGCACTGACAACAACGAGACGAGTGATGGATAGGCCTCTCCTTAGTTAGGCGCGCCTACCCTAACACATGGCGGTATTATTATACTTATTAGGGTAACGCAGGCCCTAGGCCTACTGTAGGTTAAAACTAAAAGAAGGCTCACTGGGTATTTTTCGGCAACATTGTCAACAGACATCTTTAAAACTACGCCTAGGCTAGGCTACTCTGCAAAACAAGAATGTTGTGTGCTACCCTTGATGACATGCGGATTTGTACGTGACCTTTGACTGCCTATCGGTCAGGTGGGGTGCGGAAAGTCGCCGACAATCGATGTCATGGGTATTTTTTAAATGTAAATAACAATTAATTCAGGACTGATCATATTATTATCAACCTGAAGCTGAATTATCTTGCTTCCCCGTGGTATGATCAAAAGTTTATCGACTAAGCACATTATTTTGCGTTTTAACTTTTATAATCGATTCAGTGCCAAGTCGAAAAATGGCAGCGAAAGGTCTTGTGTTCCTGGCATTGGGAGTTGTTCTGTGGGGGTTTGCGGGCCTAAGTTTTGGGCTTAGCCTTTTGTCTGTGTTTCTTATTTACCTGATAACAGGAGGCTGGAGATTTACCCGGAATGCAATAATAACACTACCAAGAGATGCACAGTAAGTCAAACAATAACCTAGCTTCTTTGTTGTGTAGGCCTAGAGAGGTAACTTATTAAGTTACTGCTTCTTTAATTAGAATGGGGCCTAATATTAATGTATACTATTGTTATATAAATATTGATGGGTAGCATAAATAAAATTAGGATTTTAATATTCACTAGTAAAAGATTTGGAGGGCACCACTCACTGCAAAGATTCATTGAACTTTACTGTGGATATTTCAGTCATTAAAAAATGATATTCAATATATTTTATAACATTTTATTTTTTAAATATATATTTCTGAATTTCAGTGGTATTTATACTTTATTCGCTATGAAGTACATGCTGTATAAATATCAACGTGACAGTATGCTTGTCCACAAACTCTTTCAAAGGAACGTTAAAAAACATCCAAATAAAATAGCCTTCAAGATCGAGGATAAGACCTGGACATTTCAACAGATTGAAGATTACAGCAATTCTGTAGCGAACTATTTCTCTGGGGCAGGTTACAGACATGGCGACACTGTGGCTATTTTCATGGTTGGCAGACCAGAGTTTGTCGCCATATGGCTTGGATTGTCCAAGATAGGAGTTGTTGCTGCGCTAATCAATTTCAACCTACGACTTAAGTCAATGTCCCACTGCGTGTCCGTATCAAATGCTCGTGCCATGATTTATGGAAGTGAGCTATCAGAAGGTAAATTTTGCTACTCTTTTAAAACATTTTCTAAATTAACTATTGATCGTCTTTGTATTGATTTTAAAAACCATTCATTTAAAGGCAATCATTTCTTTCAAAAATGTTATTCTATCATAGAAAATGCCAATCTAAATAATGTATTTTATCATGGCTTCTTTACTTTGAACAGCCATTTCAGAAGCTCAAGGATTGCAGACTCAGGGTTTGCAGTACTTTTGTTTTGGTGATGTCCAACCTGGGGTTAAAGATGCCATTCATCTAGACCCACTCATCCAGTCAGCCTCAACCTACTGCCCAACCTGCCCAAGAGAACTCAAAATGAAAGGTAATAATGCTGGTTCTCACTCAAGATTCAAACTTTACTGGTGTGTATCATACTCCATCATGTAGAATATCATCCTTCAATCAAGAAGGGTAATAATAGTCCTACCCCTTCTAGTCTACTAGGAAGGGAATAATCCCCTTACTATATGCAAGGAAATCTATAAAAACTAAATGTTTATGTTCTTGGATGTAAACATTTATTACATAACACTATATAATAATTGTTCTGAAGGATAATTAGTCAGTTTCAAAATATATACAGTAACAGTATGTCTAGTGGATCATTTAGCATGCAATACTGTACAAAGTGGGTGGGGTATTACAGTTAACTGTAGTACTGTATGTACAATATAAAGTTTTTTTTGTATACCAGCTGAGGCACTGTAAGTGGTGGGTGTGATGTTTACCTAGATCCTATTGTGATAGCAGCAATGTAAGTACTTTGATACATTGTAATATTTGTCCACAATTAATTATTCCAGATAAACTTACCTACATCTACACATCAGGTACAACAGGCTTGCCAAAAGCAGCTGTGATAACGCACTCTCGGTAAGCTGCAGTATTTTCTTTTTAAATTTATTTATTCGGTAACCAGCGGCGATTAAAACTGCCACTGTTGACACTAAACATAATAAACTTTCGTAAATATAAAACTACAAACATTAAATAATAATTCTTAGAGTGATTTTACAATCTTATTTAAAAAAATAAAGTTATCTAAAAAAAATTGTCAACACAGGGAAGAGCATTAAGCTCATATGGTAATTTCTGAAATAAACCATGTTTCTCTATTACAATATCTGTTCCTGGTTTCGTCCAATGCGTAGAATTAACAAATTTCATAATCTCAGTTTGTAATTCTGCTCAGAGTATTGCTTGTGAATATGTCGGTATTCAATCCATTTTTTGTTGATTTTGTTCTTTCCAGCTTTATCTACATGGCAACCGGAATGAACCTTGGATTTAATTTCCGTAGGGATGATATCATCTATTGTGCCATGCCACTCTACCACTCGGCTGGGGGTATTGTAGGGGTGGGACAGGTGCTATTATATGGGTGCAGCATGGCTATTCGCAAGAAATTCTCTGCTAGCAGATTCTGGGATGATTGTATTAAATACAATGCAACTGTAAGTAGTTTGATGGTAACACACTGATTAGATTCCTAACAGGCAAAGTTAAGGAATAAAATGAAGAAAATGAATTTGATAAATATTTAATAAAAATAATAACAACAATTTGTAAAGTGCAAACATCACCACCAAAATTGATGCTCAAGGCACAGTGTTTAAAAAAGAACAACAATTATTGTTGTCTTGGGTAATAAATGTTAACATTCTTTTAGCCCACTATTAAGTATTTGCAAATGGCACTTTATGTGGAAATCTTTATGGATTTAAAAAAAAACATTGCGAAGAATTGCCAAGTCTTGAAACAAGAAGACTTTTCTTCAGGACCACCTACATTGAGTAATAAAAAAAAAAGAGACCATTAATGTTTCAAATTTAATTTGTTTCTAATGAAGGTTATACAGTACATTGGAGAGATTTGCAGGTACCTACTTAATCAGCCTGACCGTCCATCAGACACTGGCCATAAAGTCCGAATGGCCATAGGCAATGGCCTACAGAGAAAATTATGGACAGACTTTGTTTACAGGTTCAAGATACCAAAGGTAGGTGGTCTTGTTTGCGATTTGATGTTGTTTTTTTTTTTATGTTATTCTTACTTAATTATCTTAATGAATGTTTTATATTATTCTATGGTCATACCGTTATTATTTAATTATTGTTATTATATGTGGCTTGCCATACCAAAACGAGCATAATGTCACTCAATGTTAATCTGAGTAATTAGCATTGAATATGGCAGTATTGTATACTTTAGTACAGAGAAGCTATAATACTCTTAACTTTGGTAACTTTTAAATGACCTATCATTTTAAGCTTATGAAGTGCATGGGTGTATCCAGGATTTTTTCTGGGTGGGTCGTGATCATAATTTTTTTGGCCTTTTGAGTGGGAGACGGGAAAATCGATTACAGCACCACCAGCTTGAAGCAGATGGCAGGCTCAGTTTCAGAATTGCTGGAATTGAGATAGATTACGTCACGCAATTGGCACGGGCCTTTGGACTCTTTGCTGGTACCTCATCAATGCTTTTTCATTTATGTCATTGTGAAAAGGCCCTAAAAAAAATGTCTTTGAAAAATGCCTTTGAAATTTTTTTTTGAGGGTGGGGGAGGGTCATACGACCTTCCCGACCTTTTGGAGGGTGGTGGGGAAGGTCATACGACCTTCCCGACCCCCCCCCCCTCCTTTCATACACCCATGAAGTGGAGCATATGAATATATTAAAAAGTCAATTTTCTTTGTTTGGCCACTGATGCTGGTTTTTTATTATTTATGTTATACACATACTGTTTAAACATACAAAGAACAGCATGTGTCTGAAATATTTTTTAAATATCTAAATACTGAAAGCTTTTAATAAATTTGAACTGAAGTATTGATTACAGTAGTTGAATACAATTTTATTCCTAGATAGCTGAGTTTTATGGTGCCACAGAAGGCAACACGAACATCATCAACACCACAAGTTATCCAGGTGCTGTTGGCTTCAATTCTATCATCCTTCCCCGTGTTTATCCTGTGACACTGATCAGAGTCGATGAGGTCACAAAAGAAATTATCCGAAATAAAGAAGGTCTATGTGAAAGATGCAAACCAGGTGGGTTATGGCTTCTTTACACCTGTGCCTTCTTACAGTGACACTTGGCCGAGTGGTAAGTCAGGGGCACCGCTAACTACAGCCTATAATGCTGGTTCGAGTCGCTCTTCACCCAGAGTTTGGTTGGCAAAACAAGTCTTCATGGATAAGGACTTAAAATGGACATCTGGCTCGCATGCACTTTAAAGAACCCATTGCATATTTTAGAAAAGAGTAGGGATTTCCTTCAGTGGCAGCACCAGCAGGGGGGGGGGCAGGACAGCAGGGGCTTAAGTCCCCCCACCAGAGAGGTCAGGCAGTCAGAGTAAAAAAGATATAAAAATAGACCCACGCCAATCCAACACATGTCTGTCACAGTTTGAGAGTGTCATTTCTGGTCATCCAAAGGTTCCTCCAGCTCAGGCCTACAAGCTCATGTCCCCCTGTCGAACAGCTCAGGCCCCCTCCCCCAGAAAATATATCCTAAAGCCGCCACTGGTTACCTTGATGCCTTGGTTCATTTCATGTGGCTCTTTACAGCAGCTAGTGAGTTTTGGACCAAGTGTAATTGAGCACAATGAAGCTGCAAATTATGGGTTATTCTCCTACCTTTACCCCTTTACTGCTACATGGTGGTTCGTAAGCATTTACGTTTTTTAACTGTTTAAAATGTAAACAACCTGAAATATAAAATTTATGTTTGCTTTAATACCTTTAAAATAATAATTCGAGGCCACTTTTGCTAAGTAAAGAGGGCAGGCTTCTTTTCAAAATGATTGCTGTAAATTTGGGGAAATAGTACTATAAAACAATAAATAGGGCCACTGTAACATCAACCTGTATCATGGAGTGTATTAACCAGCATTAAATCACCTAAACTACTGTATAAACCAATTTATTTTGTTTCTTTTAATTCATCTTTATGTTCAGTGTATGTACTGTACTACCTTGAAAAGTCTATGCTATGGGCTTCTTTTCAAGGCTAATTTTGCAAACTGAAGAGGTGGGCTTCAATTCGAGATGGGCTTCTTCTTGAGATTAAGCCCAGTGGGCTTCAATTTGAGATTTTATGGTATTTTACTCATTGATTTTAGGACAAGTTGGGCATCTCATTGGGAAGATACGGAAAGGAGATCCCACAAGGGAGTTCCATGGTTATGTCAACAAGGAGGCATCCGGAAAGAAGATAGCATGTGATGTATTTCAGAAGGGAGACAGTGTGTTCCTCTCAGGTTGGTGGTTAATGGTGTTGTGGAAGTGTGTGAAAGTACACGTAATCTACTTACCTCTTTTCAACCAGGTAAATATGGGTACCTGGAATGATGGCATCCTGATATGGAGTGTTAGAAGTCTTTACTCAAAAAGTTACTTTATTTGAATACAATTGCTTCAAATCAACAAGGATTGAAAGGTTTTTTATATCAAAGTAGAATCTTTACACTACTAGCTGATAAAATAATTTAAAACTTTGTTATTCAATTACGACAAACAGTTATCAGTGTCTACCTATTACATAGAGGGCATCATTTCAACCACTGAACTAACCTTTTTTTCTCCTCAGGTGACATGTTGTACATGGATGAGCTAGGCTACATGTTTTTCTGTGACCGTTCTGGTGATACATTCCGTTGGAAGGGAGAGAACGTTTCCACCACCGAGGTTGAGGGCACAGTGACTGGGCTGTTAGGCCTTCGTGATTCTGCTTGTTATGGTGTTGACATACCAGGTGGGTAAGCATTTAATCATCACATTGCCAGCCTGGTAGGCCTTCATGATTCTGTCTGTTATGACATTGAGAAATCTATGGTCCGACTGATTATATTTCCACAATATAATTATAATAGAAATTGTCCAATGTAGGACAAACATTGAAATTTGCACAATTTGAACAGATATTTAAACAAGTATGATCAGATATTTTCTGTTGTTAATTAAAAAATTGACCTAACCTCAAAGATATGGAAAGAGAGCCAAAGCATTCTGATAAAACTTGGTACAATAACTGATTTCTGTAGGTTCATGTAGTATCTTGCTTCAATACTGTCTGGGGTCATGCTGTTAGACTGCTCATTGGTGACCCTGCTACGACTGTGCCAGTCAACTGATAATAGGAACTAGAATTCACTATACGCAATTATTTGCACATTAAGCCACCTGTGTAGCTTTTATAATTATGGATTCACATAAACAAACGAACGACTGTTATAATCAAGGAGTAACCCTTTCATTTATGTAATGCAGGTACTGAAGGGCGGGCTGGAATGGTAGCAGTAGTTGGCTCTGCTGGAGATATTGACCTTGTGTCACTCAACCAGGGTCTGCAGAAGGCTTTACCAGCTTACGCTAAACCAATCTTCATCCGATTCACTGACAAACTGGATATGACATGTAAGTATCTTTTAATCAATCAACTTGTAAAGCACCAATTCAAATATTCTCTAATATGAATATTGTGGAGATATCTTTAAAGATGTTTAATCCATATTCCATTTAAATTGTTGTTTCTGATAATGAAAGGAAGGAGGAGCATACTCTGTGAATAATAAATTAAAAAGAAGATATGTAAAAGAAGTAATGTATAAGAATAAGGAGAGAAAAACTGCCCAGTAAACTATATTAATTTTCCTTTGTTGTACTTTAATAATAGAAAACATAAATATTAATAAACAAAACAGTTTGTAACATCAGTTGCATAAGCTTCTAGAGTACTAAAGTTTTTGTATATTTCCATTAATTTTTTACAGCCACTCACAAAGTTAAGAAGACTGCTTTGAGAGAAGAGGCATACCACTTACCAAAAGTAAATGGGGATGCTGTTTACTACTTGGATGGTAAAACTAAGAACTATGAGCATCTAACAGATGATATTTATCAAGATATATTGCAAGGAAAAATTCGCTTTTAAAATGGAAAAATAATAACACTGTATCTGTCATGAGGACACAACACATCAACAGCATATGAAGCAAAGAGGGCAACAGCCATTTAGACTAAGCCTATTTTCAGAAAAGAAAAATTTGACAATTGGTTGGAATAAATTTGAGGCTTGTGCAGTATGAATGTAGGGTTGGCGAAGCCTGCTGGAATGCCACTGTCCATTCAGATGGACTCTTGTACAAGCTGCATCACAACGAACAGCTAGTTGTATGATTACTGCAGTCTGAGACAAATTAAAGGCAGAGCCACCATGCACTAACATATAATGTAATGTTGAAATTATAGAGAGAGTGCCTGCATTTTGCCAAAAAAACAAACATATATTGATTGTGGTATATGTTAAAAAGATTTATAAATATACCGGCAATACACACTATCTACTTTAATTGAATTTGAGGCATTCCTAATCATGAAAAAAGCAGAATAAAGTCGATTTTTGTAGTGATGGTAAAGAATATATTAGGGATTTTCTATCTATGATTTTTTTGCAATAGGTCACAAATTGAATATTACATCTTGTTATAATTTACTGTCTTCACCTACTTCCATTTCTAGTACTATTCTTGCATTCTGCTTAGTATGTGAAACTGACATATCCTCATGCCAATGAAAGCATAGAAAAGTTTGCTAATTTACTTTGCGATAAAACAAATAAGTATCTAGTATTATATGGGTCTATATTACATCTTGTTGTAATTTACTGTCTTCACCTACTTGCATTTCTAGTACTATTCTTGCATTCTGCTTAGTATGTGAAACTGACATATCCTCATGCCAATGAAAGCATAGAAAAGTTTGCAAATTTACATACTTTGCGATAAAACAAGGTCTAGTAATCTCGAAAGCTCTGATGAGGGCAGTATAATAGATGGAGTACAGTATATTGGCTCTAACAGCTGCCCATACAAAAAGGATCTATTAAGCAATCAGCCGGGTATTCCTAGATCTCCTCAGCGGAGCTAAAAAAAACCCCATTCTAATGACTCTTTAGATCCTTGGTTCTATAAAAAAAAAAATACTATCTTTGTTAAAGGTAACAAACTTAATGATTGATTTAAAGGAATTTTGCAGCAAAGTCTGTAAATAATTGGAAATATACTAATTTTGAGCTGTGTCTCATTGGAAGGTTAATATATTTGATCCTTTTAATATATAAGCAATTCCATGTTTTAATAAGCAATTAGTAAAGATGCCCATAGTACACTATAGGAAAATTATTATACGAAGGTTAGATTTAATGCTTGAAAAATTTCCCTGAGGGCCTGCAAAGCCCGAGGGAAATTTTTTAGTTTATTAGGGCCCATTGATTTTAGGAATTCCTTAATTTTTCATGTTTAATATTAAATTTGAAGTAAATTTCATTCAGGTTCTAATCAAGCTTGTTTTACGTAAAGTATTTTCAATTACCACTTGTCAACAATTGACAATTGGGTGAGTGTCTTCCCCTCTCTTTCTGCGCAAGCGCACATCGTCCTAGTATAGAACACTAGCCTAGAATTCATAGTGGTGCGCGATAATTGGTCTTGTGCCGCAAACTTTAAAAAGATCAAGCCAAGCGTGCAATTTGAAAATATAGTTAACTGTTGGGGATAGGCAAATAACACTAGGAGTTGGAGTGATGACATCACTATTATTTAGTGTTTTATAAAGGTTTTATCACAGGCTGTATATACACTTATAGCCAATGAACTATTTTGTTTTTGTTGTTTTCATTTGTTGTGGAAGTGGTTTGGCGGAGTGGGAAAAGTTTGGTTTCCCAACCTCGAGGTCAGGGTTCCAATCCCTCGCTGTGCATTCCACTTGTGTCCTTGAGCAAGGCACTTTACCTGCATTGCTTTTCTCCACCCAGGAGTATAAATCGGTACCTAGTAGTGTTAAATGCCAAAATGCGATGATCTAGCTGCTGCAACGTTATGAAACTCTCCCATAGGTAGCTTTGAGTTTGTGTTCCATAGGTGTTTAATCCAATGACTGGGGGTAATAATATGAAGTGCTTAGAGTCCTTGTTGGTGTTAAGTGCTTCATAAGTCTAACATGTTATTAATATTATTTCAGTAAATAAGAAAGTACACTGTAGTGTGATGCAGATTATCATGGTTCTGTATTTTAAACTTTATTTTCATCTTCAGGAATCACTATAGATATTTCAGTATTATTTTCCAGAGGCCTAAATATTTATTTACTTTTAATGGAATTATAACAGATGTTTTTTAATTTAAATCGTACCTTGTACACCACTGGAATCTAGAAAAGTACTTGCATGTTTACAATTTTTGTCATAAAATTAAGCCCAGTACTACAGCAATTCTTTTAATGAATCCAAAATAATGTTGAATGAATTTATGTATACATAACTGTATTATAGAATGAAATTTACTCCGGATAAAGAGAGGGAGGCCATGATTCAATAACCGTATTGTTAAAGGAATGTAAACTGTAACATTTAGGCAGATTGTATTTCTTATACACTATTAAAATAAACCTACTGTATGTAATTTATTCCATTAAGTTGTTGCACAAGTACTTGCATACTCTCCTAGCACTGGTAGGCTTTTTTTCAATTTAATTGTGTAAAGCATGTACTTTATTTCAGACTGTTGAAAATAAATGTGTACTTGCTGTAATATTGTAGCAGGATTAAATGATGCTCATAAGATATATTTAAAGGAGGACCCCTTCCAACCCCACCCCAGTTTAACCTGGAAGGCGATGCAGAAATATGCAACTGTCCTCTATGATGCAATACTGCATTGCATAATAAATTTAGGACGATTCAATCATAAACTTAGACTGAGAGGATATGTACTTTGCTAAATTCGGGTTTCTGATATGTCTTTGTGGTCTCCTATGCCTGGTTTTTCCTTAAAGTCGCTACACTGCCTCTACAGTGTTTTCAATGCAGTCGTTGTTTACTGTGATCTTCACGCTCTGATCAACTGATGAGCACAGCCCGTCTTGTTGCTTAAAGTGCATATTGTCATAAGAAAGTCTGACAGCATTACTGATGTGCGCTTTTAAAACTCAATTGTATCTAGATCTATTGCTACTCATTTTCATATTTCAGCAATCTTTCAGCCAGTGGCGTAGAAAAATATTTTTCATTGGGGGTGGGGGATGATTGGCGTGTTAGCCAGTGTCGTAACACGCGTGGGAGGCAGGGGGAAACTGCCCCTTCCCTGACGGTTTTTATCGGGCTGACCAAGCCGTCCTACCGGGCTGGGTAATAAGAGAAAAGAGGGGAAAGGGAGGGAAAGAGAAAGAAGAGGAAAATAAAAGGATAGAAAAAGAGAAGAGAAAAATAAAGACAAGAATATAAAGGAAGATATCATAATGACCAGACTCACAACACCCTGCAACCCCTTCTCCACTTCAAAAACTGTCATAACTCCTTTGATCTATGCTGCCCGATGGCGTAACCACTGGGGGACAAGGGGTAAATATCTATCTTTGAAAAATCTTCCCCACCCCTTTATAAATGCCCTTTCATCCCCTGAAAGTGCCTAAAAACCTCAAATTTCGCGCGCATTTCTATTTAACATGGACCAATTTCCTCTAAAAATTGCACATTTTAGGGAGTTTTGATCAATTCCAACGAAATTAGAATTAAAAACACCGGGGGACAAGGGGAAAATATCCATCTTTGGAAAATCTTTCTCCACCCCTTGACAAATTAGAATTAAAAACACAAAAATATTTTGCGCGCTTGGCGCGCATTTTTTAGGGTTTTTTTTTTAGTTTTATCCTTTTAAGTTATTTAAACATATAATAGTCCCAAACTCAAGAAAGACAAAGTTAAGATAGATCATTTTAACCTAAAAGAAGGGCCTCAATGTGTATAGATGGTGAAAGAATATGTTTGTAATAAATAAAACCATTATGATAATGCTTATATTTAGTTGCAAACACACGTGTGTGGCCTATATTATAAATAAGATAAGCCCTATGTAGTATTGTTTTCTATATGGGGGGTGGGGTGGGTATGGTAAATTACTAATGAGGATTGTATGTTATTATTATTATTATTATTATTATTATTATTATTATTATTATTATTATTATTATTATTATTATTATTATTAT